TTTTGCACAGCTTATCTTAATTAGCATAAACTAGATACATCAGTCAACCAATAAGGAATCTCCACACTTAATGGCTCACTTTTGTTACTTTTCAAACCACTCTCTCTGGCATTTTTCCAGGCACCATCCAGACTTGTTTAAGAACTCTAACATTCCCCTTGCAAAATACCAGGTGTTATTTTGACTTGTTTACAGACTCTAACAATAAATGATATAGGGCATCAAATGGCTAAACAGAGCAAGCATACTAGCTCAGATCTCACTCTTCTTATGAAGCACAAATACCATCATGGGAGTCCCACATTCATGACCTTCAAATCCTAATTACCTCCTGAATGCCAAATCTCTAAATACCGTTAATATGTGCATTTGGGGATTAAGTTTCAAAACATGAACTTTTGGGAAATCCATTCAAATCATAGCACAAACTGATGTCAGAAAGTCTGTGTAGGAAATCTAGACTCAATCTGTCCAAGTTGCAACAGAGAAGGCTTGGAGTAAGAACATGGAGTAAGAAATTTTATCCCTAATGAAATGTAAAGAGCCCTTCCTCCTCCATGGTATCACTGGAGAGCAAGTGAAGAGCTCTACATTCACATCTGTGCTGCAGTAATGAGATGGCCTTCTCCTTTCCACAGGATGATATCAGAGAACAGAGTACAGAGTTCAGACTTCCAACACTGCCTAACAGTAACAAGGCACTTCCCCTGATGTCAGTGTAGACATCATGGGGTGCAGTAACACCCCTCCTAGCCAGAGAGGTACCAGGAGAGGACCTACAGGGAGCCTAAGCGGTCATTCTCCTCAGAAGAAATGAGAAGCCCTTACCTTTGGTAAGGGAAAATGTTGGGAGATGTAAATGAATCATTACTTTGGACTCTGTAACAGCCCCCCCATAGTGAGACTCTTCTCCTGGGAATCCTTTGGTGTGAGACCACCAAGGGAAATGCCCATTTGCAGGTGTCTCCTGTGCTTATCATGGAATCTACTGGTTCAAAAGACTTGAATTCAAATCCCAGCTGTCCAGAGGTGAAAGAGAGTAGGGGGCAAACTGATAAGCCTCAGCTAAGCTGTTTGCTCACAAGCTTCATCCTGTTTACCTTGAAGAAGCCTTTGCACAGTGAATCCCTTTGATGTTTAAAATCTGTAGAATAAACACATGAAGCCTCACTCATTGTTGAATCAGACTCCATCAGGGATGGTTTACCCACTGAGTCCTGTTTCATCTACTTCTGCTTCTTGGTTTTATTTCCCTTATTTCTAATCCAACTCATTGCCCTGTCTGGGGAATGGTTCAACAATCACACATGTTTGTGGTAAGTGGTGTCTTCAAACAGGAGACCCAGATGCTTGTGGTTACTTGCAATGTTAAGGTGAGTTGGACACTTCTCAAAAAGAGGCACATGTCAATTAAAGAAAAGAGACAGGAGTGAATATTTTTATAGCTCAGTGTAAAATAAAACAGGATAGTCAATAATTAAACTGAACTACAAGAAATACAGCTTTGTGTTATATCTAAGATGAAGAAGGCAAAGTTGGTAAAGCTTTTAGAATTTGTTATTAAAACTTTTCTGTTTCCTTGAGAAGGAAGCATTAGATACAGAGTTATGGCTGGAGCTTGGTAAACAGCTGTTGTTAACTATGAAGCTGAGAGACAGGACAAAAGCCCCATGGGAACTTTTACTTTGCAGTACTTAATAAGAAATTATCTTGATCCACCTTGTAACCGTGTAAAATGTTTGGCTTATGACCTAATTTCTGGTTTTAAAATCACCCTTAAAAATCTGCAAACAGTTAACAAAGAGTCTTCAGGCAGCCACATTTCTTCCAACCCTTCCCCTGCTCAGTGGCAGTCTTTGTCTTCTGAAACAGGCAGTTGGTGGGAGAGGAAAAAGTTAAAACTCTAGCCACAGTTTTCAGAAAAATTCTCCAGCTTCCCTGCAAATGTAAAAAAAGAAAAACTCCAAAAGAAGATATTTTAACTGTGACAAGCCTGGACACTTGGCCAGAAACTGCTGGCCATAGCCTGGTCATAAATACAAACCAGAGCTGTGCTCATGCTGTGTCATGATAAGCATTATTTAAGACCACAGGAAAAAGTGTTCTTTTAAAATTCAAGCTGTTTCTATCTCCAGCTGGTAAAAAAAAAATTAAAAAATAAAAATAAAAATGATTGCTGGCTGTCTTTAACACACTGTTTTGATAACAAGCCCCTCCCTAATCCTGCAGCACTGGGAGAGAAGAATGGAGAGATTCTAAATGTACAAGTTTTCCTTTTTAAAAAACCCTTTTCTAAAGATTTTACTGTTTACCACATTCTTTATATATCTGAACTAAGTTAAAAGTGAACTTTGAGTTGATAAAGATGTTTTACATGATCCTTTACCACAGTATGGCTTTGAGCTCGTGATTTTATGGTGAATTTGCATTTGATCTTGCATGCCTAAACTATCTTATTTTTCAAATAAATTTTATTTTACAATCTTTGTTCAAAGGCCAATTTATTTATTTATTTATCTATTAGGGATGATGTTAGGAGATCTGACAATCATCAGGACAAAAGACAGAATCTGACATCTTTTATGTCCTCATGATAGATTGCAAACCTGGAATTTCCATCTACACAAGGCTGCTCTATAGTTAACTTATAATGAAAAATCTAATTGGCTCTATTTTAATTTCTAACAGGTTAAATCTAACAGAGGCTTTAATAGAAATCTATAATGTTACTTCCTAGCTGTGGAACTCCACTTATAAAAGTTATAAATCTTTGTTTGTTGCCTGTTTTTTTTTTTATGCGTGTATACAGTGTCTTGTATTGTATTGTTGTGCCTATATATTATGTACATGGTATTAAAACTGACATATAAATAAGTGTTCATAATTTAAATTTATTAAATGGATCCAAGTTGTTTTTTTAACTTAAGTGATATAAAAAAAGTTTAGTTTAAATTGGGTAATTAAATAAAAATAAGGATGTCTTTAAAGTTACTAACTCAAAAGTTTTTTCTAGGTGGCCATATAATTAATAAAGTGCTGATTTCTATAAAATGCTAAAATGTAGTATCCATTGCTTCTAACAATTTTCTTTCAACAGGAAAGAGGTACTTAATATTGTTAACTATATTTGTTTGATATCTTGGCTTTTACAATTTTAAAAAAGTACATTAGTTTTAATATAAATGGGACTAATCTTCAAAAATGTGTTTGTTAAAGGAAACATCTAATTAATTTACAAAGTTAAAGTGCTAAAACATCTACTGCTAAATATAAAATCAAGCACTCTTAACTAAAATATATTTAAACATGAATGTTTCCATAAATTGGAAATTTTTAAAAGTTTATATGTAATTAAATTGGCTATATATAATTAACATAGTCAACTAAAGTTATTCAAAGATTTTTCTCTTTTAAAAAAAATTTCTAATTGCCTGTATACAAAAATGAATAAGATCATTTAGCAGACCCCTGTCACATTTCAGAATGCTAATTGGACTTTCTAAATAAAAGCTGAGAGAAAAAAGAAATACTGGCTTTCTCTGCAGACACAGGTCAAATATTAATATATGGATATAAAACAAAAGTTTAACCCTCTATATGTTAAAGTAATAAGGATTTTTTACAACATTAACTACTCTCATTCTCATTCTACTCTTGTGTTTGTTAGGATTTTTACCTAGAGAAACTAGTCTTAAAGGAATTAAGTTTTATACAACTCTGGTTAAACAACAACTGCTCTTTAAAGTATTACATTATAGTCCAGATTCCAAATTTTTCTTTAAAAGCTAAATTTGGCTGATGTAAAAACAACTGTGTAATTTTGATGCTGCTACTGACTTTTTTATACTAAATGAAGTATTTAAAGTATAATATTTAAGAGTTTAAAAGAATATTTTATCAAGTCAATGCTCTGCAAACTAAAGTTTTCTGTAATAGTGATTTTTAGAGACATATATAAAAATAACAAATTTGGTTAAAATTTATTTATGTCATTTAATATTTTGTAATGAGATAAAAATGATCTGCCATAAGTTATAAAACTTTGTGTTATTCTCCACACTGAGAGATAAACTTAAATACATTTTTTAAAACAATAAAGTAAGCCTGGTTTATTTAAAGGTTAACATTGTGAGAAATAAAAACATTTTGCCACTTTCCCACAAAAGGGAGTTAAGAGCTCTCTTAACTTGTTTGATTCCTATTTTAGATGTAATGTTAAATTATGTTACCTGATTCATATTGACTCAAAATGGTAACAAAGGACTTTAACAAAGAGACAAAGATCAGTTTCAAAAGTAAAACACCTATTCAAAGGTTTGTTAGGGAGCCACCTTACATGAGTTAGAACTCTACCTCTCACCTTATTCCATGTTAAGGTAACCATTCAATTTCATTTAAATTTAAGTTCAAAGGATAGATTTTTGTTGTAGGGATTACTATAATCTTAAATACACACACACACACACACACACACGGAAAGGTTTAAAATTACAAAATATTATGTCTCCTGTTTCATAGCTCTTATACGAATTTTGCTCTTGATAATTTCATTTTGTATTTTCCTTTCAAACTTTACAACTATTGTCTGTTACTACCTTACATAAATATAATTTCTAATATAACAGCCTAAGTTAATTTGAGATAATAAGGCCATTACCTATTGGACAAAAGATATATAAAGCTGACTTTCAGGATCTAAACGGACCCCATTTTATGATTTTTTTTTTTTTTTGCTCAACTTGTCATTAAAGGCAGAACCCAGGTTATACAATTGTTAAGATCTGAGCCCTCTCTTCTTCTTGTTCCTTTCTCTGCTCAAAAATAAAGTTAGTTTTGACAAACTTTAAATACTTGGCAAATAGCTTTTGCTAATTTTCCTGGTCAGTTACAAAATTATTATCCTCATGATAAACTTATTCTCTCTGTTACTTTAACCTCTATTATTTTTCCAAATATGTACTCAGCTGGGGCAGTCACAGTGTTCACTGATGACTCCAGTTGAGGAAAAGCTGGCTTTTACAGCCTTGCTTATACTGAGGTGGTGCAAACTTCCTACAGCTCTGCACGGTGAGAGAACTTCAAGGTCTTATCTATGTCTTACTTCATTTTGCTAATGAGCCAGTTAATATCTATAGTAACAGTGCCTATACAGTAGGAGTCACTATGTACATCAAAACAGCTACTGTTGGACATGCATAGTCAGAAGAGTTATTTCATTTATACTTTACATAAGACAATTCACATGAGTCAATATACTTGTTCTATTGGTCATATTAGAGCTCATTCCAAACTTCCAGGTCCTTTGGCATCAGGTAATACTAAAGTTGATTATCTTGTTGCAGCCAACCACAGTTGTCTTCATATGACTATGCTCAAGCTTCTTATTCCTTCATCATCATAATGCTTCCACTTTGCATAAGAAACTTTATATTACTTGAGAACAACCTCACCAAACTGTTCATCAATACCCTCATTATGTGGTTCACACTCCAGTTTCACCCACTGGGGATAATCCCTATGGTTTTTGGCCAAATCAACTGTGGCAGAATGATGTACTTCACATCCCTCAATTTGGCAAACAGTTTTATTTATGTTCATATTATTATTGATACTTGTTCTCATTTTATTTTTGCCACTGCTCATACAGGAGAAAATACTCATCAAGTTATTTCTCATTGCTGAGCTACTTTTGTGATGCTGGTCTTCCCTGTACAGATTAAAACTGATAATACTCCAGCTTATAATAGTTCTTCTTTTCAACAGTTTTTCATCAATTTCATATGGATCACTGAACAGGAATTTCTTATAATCCCCAAGGTCAGGCTATTGTGGAACGAGCTTATTTTTCCATTAAATTACAATTACAAAAACAAAAAGAGGGGAATAGAACTCCACAAAATTGTTTGAATCATGCTATATTTGTTTTAAATTTTTAAAATTATGACTGTGAAGGTCTCACTGCCACTGAACAACGTATCTTCCACTGCAACAGCCCCATTTGGTGAAAAGACCTATAAACAGGACAATGGAAAGGAAAAGATGTGGTGATAATGTGAGGTACAGATAATGCTTGTATTTTTCCAGAAAGTGCAATTAGTCCCATTTGGGTACCTGAATGTGCCATATGACATTGACATGGAGGACCTGGAGCCAAAGTTTAAATGACTGAAGATCAGACCAGAAGTGTCAATTCTTATCTCCAGTGAGAACAGAAAGCTGATAAAGAAGAAGAGGATGGATAACAGGACTCCATGAACCCAGAAGGCCAACATGCTAACATGGGGAGAATGAAGAATCTGACACATGAAGCTGATCAGATAATAGAACAACAGAAAGGTATTAAGTCTCCAACCACTATTTCAGTGGCTATGCTGGCTCTATTGAGCTGTCAGATGAGTGGAGTTCATGGCAATACTTATTGGACCTATTTTCCAAACCACCTTATTACCCCACTGTGTGGACTGGAGAAGCTATCCCAGTGTTTACTAATGATACTCATATAAATGGAGGTTTTAAAAACAAAAACATTACAACTATTCATGCAACTGAATTTAACTATACTGGATATAGTGTGAATCTACCTATATGTTGGTGTTATGATAAGCCTGTCAGCTATTTAAAAGTAACATTTGAGGGTTGGGGTTGTAGCTCAGTGGTAGAGCACTCGTCTCTCACATGTGAGAACCTGGGTTCAATCCTCAGCACCACATAAAAATAAATAAACAAAATAAAGATAAAAAAAGTAACATTGGAGGAAGAGATGGAATATGGGGAACCCCAGAATAGCTAATTGTGCTGGCCCCTGGGAATTAACATCATATATTCAGACGGTTATGAAGGTGGGAATGTCTCATAACAAGCCACATAATCCATGGAACATCCACCAATACCTTACTGTCCTTATCATTCTGCAATAGAATTTTGTGCCTTTTATAAGTAGATGGAATGTTAAAATATCTGCCAGTGCAGCATAAAGTCTCCAGAAGTGGTGGATATATCTTGGATTGGTCTCCAAGAATTGATAAGAGACATTTATGTCAGGATTTCATGAGTCTGGAGGATTTGTTGGTAATATCCTGGCTTTTAGTGGTGATGGCATGCAAAAAGATCTGTGGCATTTAATACCTGCTTTGGATTTTATCCATTACACACATGGCCCCATGCGTGACTTTATAGATAGGAGCTGCAAAGAGGGTTCCTGCTATGATCTGCAGGTCTGTGTTCAATCTCCCTATGTTTTAATTTCTTAAAATGTGAAAGTAAAAAGAACAAAAATATCATGTAACTTATAAGAGATGTAATTTAACCAACTGCATCACTAGATATAATAAGATAAAGGAAGTACTTATACTGTATCAGCCTTTCTTTATTTTACCCCCAGCTAACATTTCAGGGACATGGTATGATGATGCTGGAGTTCGAGTCTTATGACAGATGTATGCCCAACTAAGAAGCCCCCAGCAGCAGGCTGTTGGTCTTCTTGTAGTTGGAGTAGTCACTTTAATATCTTTTTTGGCTTCTACCATGACAGCTTCTATAATCTTACCTCAAAAAACATTCAAAATACACATTTTCTTAGCAATTTGGCTCAAAATACTTCCAAAGCCCTACATAATCATATAAATATTGATGAAAAGACTGAGACTAAATTAAATGCTTTGGAAATGACTGTCATAAATATTGGGAATGAATTTTCCACTCTCACTTATAAGGTTTAGGTGCCATGCCACCTATAAATACATCTGCATTACTGAAGCCAAATATAATGCTTCCCAATGGGATTGGAAAAAGGTTAAAAACCATGTAATGGGCATTTAACATATAAATATTGACAACCTGCATCTTATGGAGTTACATAATCACATTCAGGATATTCAGAAAAGCAGGAACAATCTCATGTATACTGCATTCCTAGCTGAACAAATGCTTCATGATTTCAATGGCTTTAATCTTGGAAATATGTTAAAACATTCTGCATGGTATATTTTTGGAATGTTATGTTTGCTACTAATTCTCTTTTGTGTTGTCATAATAGGTTGCCATACCCTCAGAAGAAGAGAAGATATCCGGGAACTCCAAATAATAGCAAGTCACTTGTGCTTCAAAAATTTAAAAGGGGGAGATGTTGGGAGATGCAAATTAATCATTGCTTTTAATTATGCAATCCTGGATAGAGACACCTTTTCTGGTAATCCTTTAGTACCAGGTTGCCAAGGGAAAAACCTAACTGCAGGTGACATCTGTTGATAGGGAGAGTTCTGTGCTTATCATGAAATATACTAGTTCAAAATCTTTAAATTCAAATCCCAGCTGCTCAGAGGTAGAAGAGATGGGCATGAACTGATAAGCCCTAAGTTGTTTTCCTCACAAACTTCTTTCTGTTTTCCTCAAAGAAGACTTTTCGTAGTGAATCCCTTTGATGTTTAAAACCTACAAAATAAACTCATGGAGCCTTGCTTTATTGTTGTATCAGACCCAATCAGGGTTCCCACTGAATATTGGGGTGATGGCCATCATCTCATAGAGGGGTTCTTATTCCTGTCCAGGAGGGTGTAAGCTACCCTAAAACTTAAAGTTCCAAATAATTAGTGAAGAACAAATAAAAAAAAACAAATAAAAGTCAGAAATATATTTACAAAAGTGAAGACCCTGATAGATCTAGTCTACGCGGTGCTAGAACTAGACACAGAAAAGGTGGCTCTGGTAGTTTACTTAAGGGTGTACATCAAAGGCAGGGTTATAATGTTTCAAGGGCACAATTTTGCTTCATGATGTCTTGCAGTCATCAGGTTGAATGGTATCTTGGCAGGTCACATCCATCTCAGGTGCTGTGTGGGGTCTCTGGAACAGCTTGAGGGGGAAGTTCATCAAGTGATAAATCCTTATGGGAGGTGCTACAGAAGTTCCCAATGCCAGACTTATTCCTTCATTAGGCTACAATGTGCAACATAGTCCACATATAGCCCACAGATAGCTCATGAAAACCAACTCCTGTTTTATCTATTTCTGCTTGTTTATTTCTCTTATTTCTTATATTTTTAATCCAACTCATTGTCCTATTCAGGGAACATTTCAACAGTCATGTAGTCTTATGATAGAGAAAACTGGACTTCTACCTATGCCTTGAAGTAACAATGTAGTACTCTACCCCACCCCACCCTGCTGCTGAAGTATTTTCATAGAACATCAACTAAAACATAAGGATCATTAAGTCCTCACCTTGTTATGCCCAAAATGTTCACATCTCAATTAAAAAAAACTCACTAAAAAGCAGGGAAATCTCACACTAAAGGGAAAAAAAATACAATCTTGATGCCAATCAAGATAACAGAGATATCAGAACTATCAAAGTTTTTGGAAAAAAAAAAGAAGTTTATTTCGGTAGCCATCATAAAAAATCTTTAAGAAACAATTACATATGTGCTTGGAACAAATGAAAAAAATTAGAAAGTTTCAGCAAATAAATAGAAGATATAAAGAAAAAACAGAAATTTTAGAATAGGAGTAAAGTGACTGGAAATTAAAAATTCAGTGGATGGACTCAGAAGCAGATTAGAGCGGACAGAGAAAAGTATCAGTGAACTGAAAGAACAGTAGAAATTGCCCAATCTGAACAAGAGAAAGATAAAGAATGAACAATATCTATTGGAAATGTGAGATCTTACATTCATGTCCTTGGCTTTCATAAAGAAAAGAATAAACCTACAAATTCAAGAAGATGAGTTAATTTCATACAGGATAAAATGAAAGAAATTTATGGCAAGATACACTGTAGTCATATTTCCTAATCATAACCAAAGCAAAAAATGAGGAAATAAAATAATAGATAAAATTATTGGAAAAAATGTTATCTTTTAAAATATGGTTCTTTACACAGGAAATGTGAAAAAAGTCAGTTTAAATAGGATCAAAGCTTTATACATGCTTTATTTAGTACAGAAGTATAGAAAATTGTTTTTCAAATTTTTTAATATGCCAATTACACTACTAAAAATTTTTTCTATGAATATATTTTCTAAAATACTCCATCCAAATATACGTTACAAGGCTGTTTTAACAGCAGTTTGTAAAAACCAAACAAAACAGGAAGTCATCTCAAAGTTTATTATTAGGAGACTTCTTGAATATATTTACATGAAAGGATCCCATGAGATCACTAAAAATGAGGTGAATCTGTAAATGATACTATGAAATGCTCTGAAAGATAAAGAGATTTTCCTAAACTGCCACAATGTGCTTACTGCCAGAACACAAGTGTTATAAAAAACACCACTAAAGCAAAGCCAAAATGGAAAAGGAAAAGATTCAGATTAACATCACTATCATTAGACATGTAGATCTGGGCAAGTCCATCACCACTGACCATATGATCTACAATGTGGTGGGATCAACAAAACACCACTGAAAATTTTGAGAAGAAAGCTACCAAGATGGGAAAGGGCTCCTTCAAGTATGCCTGGGTCTTGGATAAACTGAAAACTAAGCTTGACCATAGAATCACTGTTGACATCTCCCTGTGGGAATTTGAGATCAGCAAGTATTATGTGACCATCATTGATGCCCCAGAACATAAAGACTTTCTCAAAAACATGACTACAGACATATCTCAGGCTGACTGTGCTGTCCTGACTGTTGCTAATGGTGCTGGTGAATTTAAAGTTGGTATCTCCAAGAATGGACAGACCCATGAACATGCCCTTCTGGCTTTCACACTGGGTAATTATTGGTGTTGACAAAAGGGATTCCACTAAGACACCCTACAGTCAGAAGAGATATGAGGAAATTATTTTAGTTTCTACATTAAGAAAATTGGCTACAATCCTGACAAAGTACCATTTGTGCCAATTTCTGGTTGGAATGGTGACAACTTTCTGGAGACAAGGGCTAATTTGCTTTGGAAAGTCACCCATAAAGATGGCAGTGCCTGTGGAACCACTCTGTTCAAAGCTGTAGCTTACATTCTGCCACCAACTCATTCAACTGACAAGCCTTTGTATCTGCCCTTCCAGGATGTCTACAAAGTGGTGGTATTGGCACTGTCCCTGTGGGCCAAACACAGTGGTCACCTTTGCTTCAGTCAATGTCACAACTGAAGTAAAGATGATGGAAATTCACCATGAAGGTGTGACTGAAGCTCTTCCTGGGGATAATGTAGTCTTCAAGATCAGGAATGTGTCTGTCAAAGATCTCCATCATTGCCATGTTGCTAGTGACAGCAAAAATGATCCACCAATAGAAGCAGCTAGTTTCACTACTCAATTGATTATCATAAACCATCTAGGACAAATTAGTGCTGGCTATGCCACTGTGCTGGATTGTCACAAGGCTCACACTGCTTGCAAGATTAATGAGCTGAAAGAAAAGATTGATCATGGTTCTGGTATGAAGCTGAAAGATGGTCCTAAATTCTTGAAATCTGGTGATGCTACCATAATTGATATGGTAACAGGAAATCCCATGTTTGTTGAGAGATTTTATGACTTTCCTCCTCTGAGTTGTTTTGCTTTTCATGATATGAAGCAGACAGTTGCTGTGGGTGTCATCAAAGGAGGAGACAAGAAGTTTACTGGAGATGGCAAGGTCACCAAGTCAGCCTAGAAAGCTCAGAAGTCATATATCCACCAGAGCCTAACCTCTGATGCAGGACTGCCCCTACCTATCAGCAGACTACCACAGGAGCTGAGACCCAGCTCAGACCACCACCCACACTAGCCTGTTCAGGACCCAGGCTCACAGTAGGCCTTGGTCCACTGCTCCACCAATGGGGCAGACACCAGCCAGAGCCTAGCCTCTAGCAAAGGACCATCCCTTCTGACAAGCAGACTACCACGAGGTCAAGCCCAGCAGCCCAGATACACCCACACCAGCCAGTGTGGGGACCAGGCTCACAGTAGGCCTGGATCCACCCCTTCACTAGCAGGCACCTGCTGAAGCCCATCTTCTGACACAAGACCACCTCTTCCGACTAGCAGACTACAGCAGAAATCAGGCCCAGCCCAGATCTGTCCACACCACCTTGAACAACCAGGTTCAGGGTAGGTCCAAGTTCACCCACACACACACACCTGGAAGCCTAAGCCTAACCCACTTCCATCTTGGGACACTGCAGTCATTACCATAGCCTTCCCCACACAGTAACTCCTAACTTTTTGATGACAGGGCCTACAAGCAGATGCATCTCAGAGCAGGCATCCCAAATGGAGTATGAAGCCCACTCTTGCAGCCCCATCTCTGTAAGGCATTGCTTCCATCTTGAAACACTTAACTATTATCTCAAGTTATCTCTGTTATTGCTGCCACCAACCTTAGACACAGTAGCATACACTGAGGGACCCCAGCAGGGTCTGGAAGCCCAACATCAAGGTGAGGTACAGACAATTTGCATGGATACTACAAGAATTTAGGGAATAAAGTGTAATATCTCAAATCCACACTTCCAGAAAGAAAGACACATAGACAACATGAAAAAAACAAAGGAGGAAAGTGCCCCATACAAACCAGGATACTATAATAACAGAACTCATGGACAGCAAAGTTGATAACATGTCAGAGAAGGAGTTCAGAAGACATTGAGGAGGAGATTAAAAAATTCTTAGAGGTAATGAGAGCATACACACAACATATCAAAATCCCTGGGACACTATGAAAGCAGTTCTAAGAGGAAAGTTCATGCATTGAGTTCATTACTTAAAAGAAGAAAAAATCAACAAATAAATGACTTAACATTACATCTCAAAGCCCTAGGGAAAAAAAAGACAAATCAACACCAAAAACAGTAGAAGACAGGAAAAATAATTAAAATCAGAGCTGGAATCAATAAAATTTAAACAAAAGAAATAATTGAAAAAAATTGACAGAACAAAAAGCTTTGAAAAAATAAAATTGACAGACCCTTAGCCATGCTGATGAAGAGAAGGAGAGAGAAAATGCAAATCACTAACATATGTAATGAAAAAGAAAATATCATGACAGTACAGAAATACAGAAGATAATTAGAAATACTTTGAAAACTTATACTCCAATAAAATAGAAAATATTTAAGGCATTGACAAATTTCTAGAGTCTAATTTGCCTAAATTGAATCAGGATGATATACACAATTTCAAATGACAAATTAGGATGATATACACAATTTCAAATGACAAATTAGAAGATGCCATCAAAAGTCTACCAACCAAGAAAAGTCCAGGACTGGATGGATACATAGCCAAACTCTACAATACCTTTAAAGAAGAACTAATACCAACACTCTCCAATTTATTTCAGAAAATAGAGGGGGAAAAAAAAGCAGCACTTCCAAACTCATTCTATGAGGCCAGTATCACCCTGATTTCAAAACCCGGCAAAGACACATTTAAAAAAACCAAAAACTTCAGACCAATATCTCTAATGAACATAGATACAAAAATTCTCAATAAAATTCTGGCAAATTGAATACAAAAACATACCAAAAAG